TTTATTTTTAGAAAATTGATTACATATATCAACTAGGAGGGCATTTTCCCCTTTTTTTAATTTCTTTTTTTTTACAACTTTTTTTAATTTTCATTTTCTTTTATACATTCAATCATATTATTATTTGTCTTACTATTCAGCCATAAAAAAAAATTCTTTTCTTAAGTCATTTAAAAAAAAAAGAAAAAATAATACATATACAATCCACTAAAGGGTAGATGAACCAAGAACCAAAGCTTCACAGAACTCTGGCTGAAACCTTGCATCCTGGTATCCTCCCGACTGTCTACCCCAACGATCACATTTGAACCGATAAGAAGGAATCAGTTCCTGACAGCCTTCCTCCCTCAGTACTCACTGGGCTGCACTGAGTCTCTTCTCATGCATGACTGAGGAGTGTGAATCCACCACTTCGCTCCCGTCTGCTGTGCAGTGAAGCCTCAGGCTCTGTCCTCCAGACTTGAAAGAACAGAGACTCAGGACCGGGCTCCTGTTACAGATGCCCAGCAGGGGAGTAGACGCTGATGGAGCTGCCCTACTGGAGCTGGCAAATAACGGTCTGAAGACACGGGCCAATTATTTACAATCGCACGACCTTGGGGGCCCAATGCACAGGGCTCCTAATTAGCCAACTGGTCCGTGTTCTCCCCGTCTCTTAGGACTTGCTGATCCGAGCTGAAGAGGATGAGCCGGAAAGGTGTCCGTGGAAGGGTCTGTCTGGGCCCTCGCTCTTCTCAAGAGGGAGTTTGCATAGACTCCTTGCTTTTCAATTCCACATTGCAGGGCCAGCAGGAGTCATAGAGGATAAAGTAGCTGAATCCCACATGGTCGATTGCATGGTTTGAGTCCTGGACCTGGAGTCTTGAAAAATCACACCAGGTGCATGTGCGTGCCCAGAATTTCAAGATAACAATATAGAAGGACCAGCACTTGGCATAATGGCTATGTTACTGGACTCCCAGGTAGTTGACCGTGGTTGGAGTCCTAGACCTGGTGGCTTAAACTCACGTTGGGTGCATGTGCGTGCGTGCCCAAGATCCCAAGAGGAGAATGAAGGAGAAGGGATTGTGGCATGGCCATCCCCCTTTTTCTGTCTCTCTGTCTCTCTCTCTGTCTTTCTGGCGAGCGTACACGCCCTATAGCAAAAATACCTCTCAAAAAATAAAGACAGCAATGGAGAAGAGATGGCAGTGTGGCCACCCCCGCCGCCTCCGTAGAGAGGGAGTTCTCACTTTCCACTTTCTCTCTCTATCTCTGCCTGGTGAGCACATGCGCCCTATGGCAAACAATAAATAAATAAATAAATAAATCCACATTGCAGGATCTTACCACAAAATTCCGCCTTCTTTTCAATTTAATAATTCAGTGTGTGATTTCCAGAGCTATAGATTCACTGGATTAGTCAAGAAGTCTCGGGAGAATTAGGTTTACTACTAGACCAAAAATGAGATATTATTTCCATGCTCAATTAATTTTTACCTTTGAGGATGGTCGGCCTGTGGTGTGGTGGTTAAGGCACCAGATTCCCACATGGCAGACCATGGTTCAAGTCCTAGATGTAGCAGCTTGCTTTCTCACTTTCCATTTCTCTCTCTGTCTCTTTATAATTACTTTTCAAAAATATTTGCTTTATTTATTTATTTATTTTGAGAGAGATTTTTGCTTTAGGGCACGTGTACTCACCAGATAGACAGAGAGAGACAGAGAGACAGAAAGTAAGAAATCACCCCCCAGGGGGGATGGTCACACCTCAATCCCTTCTCCTCTATTCTCACCTCAGGATCTTGGGCATGCAAGCACATGCAACCAGCATGAGTTTTAAGCCACCAGGTCTGGGACTCGAACCAAAGTCAACTACATAAGGGTTCAGCAACATAACCATTATGCTATTGGCTGGTCCCAAGGCTAACTTTTTATTTTCATGTCCTTTTTTTTTTTTCAATAGAGGTTTTTGTATTAGAGCGTATGCTCTTGCCAGGGAGAGACAGAGAGAAAGAGAGGGAAAGTGAGAAATCACCCCCCAGGGGGATGGCTAAATCACAATCCCTTCTCCTCCGTTCTCCCCCAGGAACCCTGGGCACACACATACGCACCCCACATGAGTTTCAAGTCGATGTGGTCGACCGAGTGGGAGTCCAGCAACATAAGCGCTACACCATCTGCTGGCTCCTTATTTTGATTTGTTTTACCTTCCCTTGGGTAGACGTTTTGTATGTTGGAGATTTAGAGGGTATTTGTTCATTGGAACGAGGCTTCAATTCTGAGGGCTTTTTTCTCTAATGGGTTCATATTGTTGTATTACGAAAGTTTACATACTTTTTTGGTAACTGATACTTAAATACGTCACACAGCTCTTGGAAGGTTGCAGCCACTGGGTCAGCTAAGGACTAGTCATCTCAAGGCTTGACCCACAGAAGATCTGCATTGAAACTCCCTCACATAACTGTTGGTGGGATTCAGTTACTCCCAGGAAACTTAGCCAGAGGATTCCCTCAGTTCCTTACAATCAGGGCCTCTCCAAGGGTTAGTTCCAACATGGCGCCTGACTTCTACCCACTGGAGCAAGCCAGAGAGGAGCAGAAAGCAGAAAGCAGCAGATCCTGTTTTGTTTTGCTTTGTTTTGTTTTAAGTTGCTATAGGGCATGGGCACTACCCAGAGAGAAAGAGATAATGGAGAGAAAAAGAGAGAAAGTAAGAAATCACCCCCAGAAGGGGATATCCACATGACAATCCCTTCTCCTCCAGTCTCCTCTTGGAATTTTTGGGCACGCACACACATGTGCCTGGTGTGAGTTTCAAGCAGTTGGGTCTGGGTCTTGAACCACACCGCCAGCCATGTGGGATCTAGTTGCCTTCACCTAAGTGCCACCTGATGGCCCCAAAATCCAGATTCTTTAACTCCATTCCCAGAAGTGACCTGTTATCATGTTCTTATTGGCAGAAGTGTGTCCCTGGGTGCATCCCATGTTCCGTGTGAGAGGGTGACTAATGCATGGAAACCAGAGGGTGGATGTCATTGAGAGAATTAATTTTTAAAGTTTATTTGTATATTTTTTCAGAGAGAGAGAGGTACCCCCAACAGGGAGAGGATAGCTGAAGAAACATTATTAGATACAGTGGGAGTCCAGCAAGTGTTATGGAGGTTAAGGCTCTGGACTCTCACATGGCTGATCATAGTTCAAGTCCCAGACCTTGTAGTTTACTTTCTCACAATCTCTCTCTCTCATAAGTATATGTTCCCGGGAACCAGCAGTTAGCGTAATGGCTATGTCGCTGGACTCCCACATAGTCAACCACAGTTCACATCCTGGACCCAGTGGCTTAAAACCCACGCCAGGCACGTGTGCGTGTGTGCCCAAGATCCCGAGAGGAGAATGGAGGAGAAGGGATTGTGGCGTGACCATCCCCCCTGGGGGGTGATTTCTTGCTTTCTGTCTCTGTCTCTCTCTGTCTGTCTGGTGAGCGCACACGCCCTATAGTGAAAATCTCCAAAAAAAAAAAAGAGTATATGTTCCCTATAGCGAACTTCAAAATAATAATTAATTAATTACTTTTGAATTATAAAAGAAAGAAAGAAAGAACGGAAAAGTGGACAGGACAGGGACACAGTGGTAACCACAGTGCTCTGCAGGGCTGACCCTCATAGGAAGATCCACATTTGTATCCAGAGACCTCTCTGAGCATGCACGGGCTGGGTAAATGTTGGGTGTGGATTGTGGTATCAAGACCTTTTAAGGGTGCTCTCTCTCTCTCATTCATGAAAGAAATAAATAACTAAACTTTTAAAATAATAATTGAGAAAACACATTGTCTGCTGCTAAAGAAATGTCTTTTTTTCTAGTTTGCTGAAGGGTACCTGTGCTTGCCAGAGAGAGACAGAGAACAGGATAGAGAGAAAGAGACCCTCATGGGGCATGGTCACTCCACAGCCCTGACTCCATTCTTCCATCCCTGCAGGATTTAGGGCAAGCACGCACATGCACACACACCTCTCATGTTTTTCAAACCACCAGGGCCAGGGCTCGAACTGCACTATCAGCAATGTAGGATCCAGCTTGCGTAACCACCAGGCCACTGGCTGGCCCAAGAATGTCTTGTATTCTCCTCCTTTGAGCCCTGGTCTCTTTATGATCTTCAATGTCTGTCCACATGCAGTTAGGGCCCAATTCATACCAGTCCTCTTTGGATAAAAATTCTGACTTTGGGGGCCAGTAGATGGTGTGGTGGTTAAGGCACTGGATCCCAGAAAGATGTGTTAAGAATCCTGGAGTCAGCAGGCAGCATGGGGATTAAGGTGCTGGACTCCCACATGGCCGACCACAGTTCCAGTCCTGGACCTGGTAGCTTGCTTTCGCACTTTCCCTCTCTCTATGTGAGTCTCTTTCTGGTGTAACGCATGTATCCTATAGCAAAAATTAAATAATAATGATGAATTTAAAATTAGATAAATAATTCTTTAAAAATAATAACTGAAACTGATGGACTAAAGGATATAGAAAGACAGTAAATGGATATAAACATCAGATCTAGTGTGTGTGGAAGAGGAGGGTCCAAGGAAGGACATTTAGAAGAAAAATAAGGAGGCGAAGCATTAATGGGTCAAAGAAACGTGGTATTATCTGTTGAAGACATTTTATAGTTTTATCAACCGGACTAGGGAGGAATGGTCACATGTTGAAATATTCACTTTGTACGCTAAATAATGTGATTGCATGTATAAAAGAAAATGAAATTTTAAAATGAAGGAAAAAACCTACAAATAGAAATAATAATAATAATAATGTACAGAGAATCCCAAAATACTCCTCCCGTCTCCCCAGGACTCCCAGTCTCATCAAGGCAGACCAAAAGAAACAATATCTGAGTATGAAATATGAAGAAGAATAAAAGCCAAGAGAACTACAAAAATCTCACGATGAGAGGTGACATTTTCAGGTCTACGTGTTCAGTTTTGCTGCCTTTTCCAACCTGTATTCCCGACAGAGAGCAAAGGTATGAGATTAGGTTGTCTTGTGCAAGAGCTTCCACATGGCCCTCTTGATGTCCCTGTTCCTCAGGCTGTAGATGAAGGGGTTCAGCATGGGGGTGACCACTGTGTACACCACCGAGGCCACGGCGCCCTTTCGGGGAGACAGCGAGACAACCGAACTGAGGTACACCCCAAGCCCTGTTCCATAAAATAAGCAAACAACCGACAGGTGAGAAGCGCAGGTGGAAAAGGCTTTGTATTTCCCACCTGTTGATGGGATTCTCAGAATGGAAGAGACAATTTTATAGTAAGAGAAAAAGATTCCGGAGAGCGGAAGAAACCCAGAGAGGAGGCCGACCATGTACGTGACAACGTCATCGGTGAAGGTGTCAGAACAGGCAAGGTTGAGGAGCTGAGACGGGTCACAGAAGAAGTGAGAAATTTCTACCTCCTTAAAGTAGGTGACTTGTAACACCACCCAGTTGTGTAGCTGGGAGACCAAAAGGCTGAGGAGAAATGAGAGGAAAACCAGCAAGCCACAGAGGTGTGGGTGCATGATGACCTGGTAGTGTAGGGGGTGACAGATGGCCACGAACCGGTCATAGGCCATCACGGTGAGAAGCAGACTATCTAAACACCCAAAGAGCATAAAAAAAGACATCTGAGTCAGACAGCCTGAGTAGGAGATGGCCCTGCTGCCAGACTGGATGTCCAATATCATCTTGGGGACAGTGGTGGAGGTGAACCCAATGTCAGCCAAAGACAGGTTGGAGAGGAAGAAATACATGGGGGTGTGCAGGTGGGAGTCTGAGATGGTGGCCAGGACGATGAGCAGGTTCCCAAGCACAGTGACCAGGTACATGGACAGGAACAGCCCACAGAGGACAGGCTGCAGTTCTGGATCCTCTGAGAGGCCCATCAGGAGGAATTCTGAGACACGTGTTAGATTTTGTGGCTCTTTGTCACTGGAGCACCTTTTGAAAAGAAAAGAGGGTTGGGGAAAAAAAAGTAAACCAAAATCTGAGACTCCTATATTTTGTTTTATGAGGTTTTTTTTAATAATTATTTATTTTATTTCATTTATTCATTCTTTTTTTTTTTTAATTTTAACTAGAGAGAGACAAAGGTTGAGAGTGAGAGAGAGAGGAAGTGAGAAAGCAAGCCACCAGATTCAGGACTTGAACCCCGGTCGGCCATGTGGGAGTGTCCAGCGCCTTAATCACCACGCCACCTGCTGGTCCCTATATTTTGTTTTAATTTTTAAAGAATTATGTATTTAATTTAATTTAATTTAATTTATTTATTCATTTACTTTAAGTTTGGCAAGAAAGCAAGAAGGAAAGCAAGAAAGCAAGATGCCAGGTCTGAGACTTGAACCTCGGTCAGTCATGTGGGAGTCCAGCGCCCCAACCAGCACACCACCTGCTGGTCCCCAGTTTTTATATTTTGAATTCAAGCAATTTGCCCAAGTCCTCGCATTTGAGGATCGTGACCTTCAGCAATACTTCTCAGTGGGACAAACCCCATCTTCTTAGAATGCTTTCATTATTGGCTCCCATGTTACTCTCCTCTTTCTTTACATACGTTCATTGGAGGTATCAGTGGGGGAATACTGGAAGACCAAGAACATTAGAGATATATCTTTGATCACAGTAAAATACAGCCTACTCTTTTTTTTTTTTTTTTTTAAGGTTTTTGCCAGAGGTCACATGTATTCATTGGAGAGAGACAAAGAGAAACAGTGAAAGGAAAAGTGAGAAATCACCCCCCAAAGGAATGGCCATGCCAGTCCTTTCTTCTCCATTCTCCACCTGGGATTTTAGGCACACATGCACACAGGCCTGGTGTGAGTTTCAAGTCACCAGGTCTGGGATTCAAACTCTAGTCAACCATGTGAGAATCCAGCCCCTTAACCGCTATGCAACATGGTGGTCCCAAGAAAAGATCTTTTTAAAGGGAGAAATAAGAGACCACATTGAAATACCTTTTATTACAGTATACTGTTATAATTATTCTATTATTGGTTATTGGCATTCATCTCTTACTGTGTCTAATCTATAAACTATACTTTATCATAGATATGTACATGTAGGCAAAAACAGTAGACATGGAGTTTCATACTATCCGAGGTTCCAGGCATTCACTGGGAGTTCTGGAGCATATCTTCTGTGGATAAGGGAGAACTGTTGCTGGTGCCAGTAGATTATGTAGTGGTTGAGGCACTGGACTTCCAAATGGCCAACCACAGTTCAAGTCCCAGACCCAGCAGCTTGGAAATCATGCTAGGCATTTATGTGAGCATGCCCAAAATTTCCAAGAAGAGAATGAAAGAAAGAAATGGCAGCATTCATCCCCCCTGGGAGTTATGTCTCACTTTCCTTCTCTCTGTCTTTGTCTCTCCAGCAAGTTCACACATACTATGGCAAAAATCTTTTTAAAAAAAGAACTGTTTAGATGGGTCACCCCATAATGAATTTGTACACCACAACTTTGTGTTCAAGTCTCTCTGCCAAGAAGTACCTTCCTCTTCTTCAAATATTTGAACTGATGAACACCATTAACTGAGAGAGAAAGAGAGACATCATTTTATTCGTGTTATAATTTTATATTTATATGCTTTAGTATATGCCTAATAGGGGCTGGCAGGTGGCATGGTGGTTAAGGGCACTGGACTCCCACATGGCCAACTGCAATTTCAGTCCTGGATCTGATGACTTGCTTTCTCACTTTCCCCCTCCCTATCTCTTTCTCTGGTTAAATTAAAAAATAATGATAATGAATAAAGTTGAGTGGATGTTTTAATGGTTATGTTGCTGAACTCCCACATAGTTGACTGCAGTTTGAATCCCGGATCCAGCAGCTAAAACTCACGCTGGGTGTATTTGCATGCGTGCCCCAAATCCTGGCAGGGTAATGAAGGAAAAGGGATTGCTACATGACCATCCTCTCCTGGGGGTGATTTCTCACTTTCTGTCTCTCTCCCTCTCTGTCTCTCCAGTGACAGCATGTGCCCCATAGCAAAAATTTCTCTTAAAAAATAAAAAATACGTAAAGGTCACCTAAATACTACACTACACATACTGCCCATGAATATACTAATACATGGGAACCAGCAGTTAGCATAATGGCTATGTCGCTGGACTCCCACGTAGTCGACCGCCGTTTGGTCCCAGACCCGGTGGCTTAAAACTCACTCCAGGCACGTGTGCGTGCGTGCCCAAGATCCCGAGAGGAGAATGGAGGAGAAGGGATTGCGGCGTAACCATCCCCCCTGGGGGGTGATTTCTCGCTTTCTGTCTCTCTGTCTCTCTCTGTCTCTGGTGAGCACATGAGCCCTATAGCAAAAACCTCTCCAAAAAAAAGAGAAGTATACTAATACATATTGACATTTGATTTTGCAGGTTCTCCGTGAACTGCATATGTTTATTCCAAACACTCACTGATGCCTGACATTACCTGGGGGAGGGACATCCTTTAGTTTGTCATTTTATTACTGCAGCGATTCTTTGAAAATTCTTGCGCCTCTCTTAATATACAAGTCAGGATCTCTGTATAATATGAACATGGAGATTAGTCATTTGCCTTTTTTTTTAATTTGTTTCAGGTAGCATGTGCTCACCTGAGAGAGACACAGGGACAGTGAGAAAACACATCTAGTGAGGATGGCCACACCACAGTCCCTTCTCCTCCATTCCTCTCTCAGGATTTTGGGCATGCACGCACATGCACAAATATGTTTTTTAAGCCTCCAGGCCCAGGACTCAAAATGCAGAATCAGGCATGTGGGAACCAGCCACCTTTATCACCATGCCACTGGCTAGCCCACAGTTACTTGTCTTTTAACAATTAATGACTGTTTGATCTTACTGTTAATCACCTACATTGCTGTTTCAATACAAAAATCAGTTACTATGAACTACATCATCCTAGTATTAAAGCACACATTCAGAGGCCAGCAGGTGATGAGGTGGTTAAAACGCTGGACTCCCCCATGGCTGACCACAGGTCGAGTCCTGGACCTGGCACTTGTTTTCTTACTTTCTCTTTTTCTCTCTTTCTCTCTCTCTGTCTCTTTCTTTCTCTCATGAGCACACATGCCCTTTAGCAACTGGTTGACCATGATTCGAGTCCTGGACCTGGGGGCTTGCTTTCTCATTTTCCAACTCTCTTGCTCTCTCTTATTCTGTACCTCTCTGATCAAATAAAAACAAATAAGTAAATTTTTTAAAAATACACATTCAGTATAAAATGGGGACATACAATGCCTTTCTTTTATAATCTGGCTGGCTTCACTCAGCATTAAATCTTCCATATTGGTACAGTTTGTATCAGACGTCAGGGTCTCACTGTTTTTTTATAGCTGAGTAGTATTCCAATCATCCATATTTGGATATTTGGGTTGAAATCTAGAGAAAATTAACAAAGCTAAAAGTAGATTTTTAAAAGATATAAAAGATGAATAAAATTCATTAACTTCCCCCCCCAAAAAAAAAATACACATTCAGTCCACCTACTGGTTGCTGAATCAACAACAAACACTTCATAGAACTCTGTCTGAAACTTTGCATACCGCTATCCCTCCAGCTGTCTATCCCAGCGGTCATGTTTGCCCCAATGAGGAGGAATCAATTCCTGCAGTCCCCCTCCCTCCGCCGCCTCCCTCAGCACTCACTGGGCTGCAATGAGTCTCTGCTCATCCATGACCAAGCAGTGCGAATGGACCACTTCGCTCCTGTCTGGTGTGCAATGAGGCCTCAGGCTCCGTCCTCGAGACTTAAAAGAAGAGAGATTCAGGAAGGGGCTCCTGTTACAGATGCCCAGGAGGGGAGTAGACCCTGATGGAGCTGCCCTACTGGAGCCAGCAAATAACGGTCTGAAGACACGGGCCAATTATTTACAATCGCACGACCTTGGGGGCCCAATGCACAGGGCTCCTAATTAGCCAACTGGTCCGTGTTCTCCCCGTCTCTTAGGACTTGCTGATCCGAGCTGAAGAGGATGAGCCGGAAAGGTGTCCGTGGAAGGGTCTGTCTGGGCCCTCGCTCTTCTCAAGAGGGAGTTTGCATAGACTCCTTGCTTTTCAATTCCACATTGCTGGGCCAGATGGAAGTGTGGAAGTTAAGGCAGCTGGATCCCATTTGGCCAACTATGTGGTTTGAATCCTGGATGAGGAGGCTTGAAAAATCACACCAAGCACATGTGTGTGACCAAAATTCTGAGAGAGAATGTAGGAGGGAGGATTGCAGCGTGGCCATATTCTCAACCCTGAGGGGAGTGACTTCTCACTTTCCACTTTCCCTCTCTTTGTCTCTGTCTAGTGAGTACACGTGCCCTGGGCAGGAGGAGACCACATTGTGAGAGATTACCAAAAAATATTCAGACTTTTTTTCAATTTAACAAGGCAGTATGTGATTTCTATAGCTATAGGTCCATTGAATTAGTCAAGAAGTCTTGGGAGAATTAAGTTTACTATACTAAGGATGAGCTAGTAATTCCATTCTTCATTAATATTTGCCCTTGAGGGATCAGCAGATAGCATAATGGTTGCATGGTTGAACTCTCACATAGGAGACTATCATTTGAGTCCTAGATCAGGTGGCTTGAAACTCACACGGGGTGCATATGCCTGCATACCCAAAATCCCAAGAGGAGACTGAAGGAGAAGGGATTGTGGTGTGGCCAACCCCCATGGGGGGTGATTTCTCACTTTCTGTCTCTCTCAGTCTCTCCAGCAAGCACACATACTCTATAGTAAAACTCTCTCTAAAGAAAAAAATTTGCCTTTGATAGGGGCTGGCAGGTGGCATGGTGGTTAAGGTGCTGGACTCCCACATGGTAGACTGTGGTTCGAGTGCCAGACCTAGCATTTTGCTTTCTCATTTTTCCTTTCTCTCTCTGTCTCATTCTGTCAAATTTAAAATAATAATAATTATTATTTATTAATTAATTTTTTAAACTATTTGCCTTTGAGGCTAAATTTTTTTTTTTTAGTTTTAATTTTTTTGTAGAGGTTTTACCTTAGGGCACAAGCACTCCCCAGAGAGAGAGAGACAGAGAAGACAAGAAGGAAAGTGAGAAATCACCCACCAGAGGGATGGCCATGCCCCACTCCCTTCTCTTCCCTTCTCCTCCTGAGATCTTGGACACACACGCATTCACACCCAATGTGATTTTTAATCCAGTGGGTCAGGTTATGTGGGAG